TACAGCTCATCCCTTATCTCATTCTGTCTCTTATCGTAATTTTTCTCCTAACCATTTTATTTTTTTATCTGCTTTATCTCAATCATCTGATCCTACTCGATATTCTCAAGCTGTCCAACATTCTCATTGGCGTGATGCCATGCAAAATGAGATTCGAGCCCTTGAAGCTAATAATACTTGGCTTCTTACACCCCTTCCTCCTACCAAGAAACCTATTGGCTGTAAGTGGGTCTTCAAAACTAAACTTCATGCAGATGGTTCCATTGAACGGTATAAGGCTCGGTTGGTGGCGAAAGGCTACACTCAGGTAGAGGGTCTTGATTATCATGACACTTTTGCCCCCGTGGCTAAACTTGTTACTGTCCGTTGTGTCTTGGCCATTGCAGCAGCCCGTAATTGACATCTTCATCAACTTGATGTTAATAATGCATTCCTTCATGGCGATTTGGAGGAGGAGGTCTATATGACACTCCCTCCTGGGTATGGTCGACAGGGGGAGACTCGTGTTTGCCGTTTACTTAAGTCTCTATATGGTCTTAAGCAGGCGTCTCGAAATTGGTACTCCAAACTTTCCTCTGTACTGTTGTCTAATGGTTTTACTCAGTCTTCCGTTGATCACTCCCTTTTTACTCGGACAATTGGCTCATCCCTTACTGNTAAAGTTAATAATAAAATAAACTTACCTACTCAAAGTCGACATTAAAATTATTGATTTTGAAAAATCAATATGGGTCGATCTGCAAAAGTATATCAGTGTGGTGGGTTTGATCTCGCAGGAAAATTTTTTTACTTATACATAAGACATAGGTCATCGTTTCAGCATTGGATCCTTTCTTGGCTCTCTTTTAGTCCTATATCTCTTATCCTCACGAGGTCTTCCTTTAGGCTTTTTCTAAAAACTTTATTTATTCTGATGTAGATGGCAACTAGGCCTATATTTCTTGATTTTAATATGTTGCAACATGTGGTGTTGCTACGTCATACTCATTGTTGTTGCCACATCCACGGTAAGCATTATAACTCTTGTCCATTGTGAACAAGAGATCAGATTGAATCAGTGTAGAACTACAAAATATAATACTTCACAATATTTTATATTGGTAAGAGAAAATCTCTTGAGAACATGTCACAAACATTCCAATACTAGGCACAGTTTTTCGATCACAATCCAATACTCGACTAGATCTTTTACTCAAACTAGGCACAGTTTTTCGATCACAATCCAATACTCAAGTCGTGGTATGAATTATTTAAGAAAATAATTTTGGTTGAGTTATGGCTTGTAGTTTTTGCATTGGTACTTACAAGTGCACAGCTTTGTGGTGGATGAGAACATGTCACAAACATTCAAGTTATTGTGACAGCAATTAAAGAAATTGCTTTCATGATCATTTGAATAGACATCTAATTATATTTCCACTTGTGCCTCATCAAATACATGACAAAATTTAAGCTCATCGTTATCTGAAAAACTCTTTTTTCTATATGTTTATTTTCAACCACACATTAACACATAAAATATTTTGTATGTAAACTCAAATTCTTTATTTATTTTTTAATCACACATTTTTCTAAAAACCACTGTTCAGAACTTTGTTTTTCCTAAATAATGGTCGTAAAATAAGGACTTAATGGTGTTTGTCAAGTACAAAAAGATAGCAATAGTTGATAAAGAGGATACAAAAATGAGTCGAGTATTGTTATTTAGCTCAACTATCGCTATCTTTTTGTCATTGAAGGCGACAATTGCACAAATGCATTGCAATTACTTAGCATGTCGTGTTGCGTGAATTTTTAGCCAAACGACTCGAGTACTTGGTCCATTATTGCTTTATGTAGGGACACTTTCTATGCAATAATCTTATCTCCTACAGGCTACAGTGCAGTCCTTGGATCGTTCTCTTTGGATTATTACGTATGCACTTAATCTTTCTAAAAAATGTTGAATATTGGATCGTTCTCTTTGGATTATTACGTGCACGTAATCTTTCTAGCAAATCTTGAATATCATGTATAATAAATTGAGTAATGTTATTTGTAATAACTCACAATTGTAGTCGTCATATGTGATATATACAAATGACGATTAATAATCTTGAATATCATGTATAGTAAATTGAATAATGTTATTTATAATCGCCTACTACTGTAGTCGTCATCTGTGACATACAAGTGACGGTTAGTGATTTGATGCATTAATGTTGTAATTTTTTATTGTCTCGTGTATCAAATCATTAATAGTCACGTGTATGTGTAAAGCGATTACGATAATGAGCGACTATAAATAACATTTTTCTAATAAATTAGATTTGGACAATGTTTTTTTTTTTTTTTAATTCTATTCAATTCAATCCGCCAAATATATCATTAGCCCTCTTGACAATAGAAAGTTCACTCCATCTTGAATTTCGCGTTGAGAAAGAAATTAAGGAAAAATAAAAGTCAACCGGAGAAGTGATTTTCTTTACTTTTCTCTAACAACATAAATATCAAAACTAAAATTTTTGTATATCATAAATAAAGAAAATGTAATAAAACTCAAGCATGTAATTGTATTATAATAAGGACCCATATTTACAGTGTTCAAATGAGATTTACAATCTGAATAGAATAAATATTTTTAGAGTAAATAAAACTCATCTAAGTATGCTGATAAGACTAAATAGTCATCGATAATCACATCCATGCATTCTTCCTTGTTTCATTTTCAACTAAACGCTAAAATACTTTCCTCATATACGAACATTTGTGCACTTGTCGTTTTCTCACTTACTTGCAAATACTATGTAGTTCTCGAATGCAAGGGAAGGTGTTAATGATCGAAGTATGGCCACGGTATTATAGTGTTTAACACTGCAACTAGTTTTCAGATTAATCCAGAAAGCTAAAATTGCTTCGAAAGCCAAAGATTACCTAAATATGCTATTAAAGTCAAATTATTATTATATATAGTATTATAAAGAAGCACGCTGTACGAAATCTGAATATCATAATCCATTTACTGATTGTACAATTCCATCTGTATCGAAAATGTTATACCATCTCACATGCACGCGGGGCACGCATAAATAAAAAATTCTCAAATGTGTGGTCCCCACACCCTATTGTGAGTGTAGGTAAAAGATTAGGTAAAAAAGTGGATGTTCATATAGCATTGTCCTTACTGATTTGCATGTCATCCTTGGCTCCGTGTAGATAACGATATATGTTTAAGTAGATGGTTATGGTAAGACCCAAATTTCTATTAGTATTAGGATTGAAATGGTAAATTGATAAAAGAAACAAGAGTTTTCTTGATTTAGAAGTCCCGTTGAAAAATGGATCAAAGTTCATCAATGATTGAAAATTTGATTGAGAAAGGGAATTCAGATAATTGAAGATTTTTTTTTTTGAAGTTTTGGTGGAGAAAAGATCATCACAACTTCACTAGCTGGTCGCTAACTTTGGCGCTCGAACATCGGGGGTGAAAAACGGATAAGAGAGCTGGTGCCCGTTTAGCGCCAACGTTTCGCTTGAGCGGTGTTCGCCTAGTGCTCGAGTGGCAGTGTTATCCGAGCGGGAATTCCTTTTTTTTATTTTAACTCGTTTCTTGAGTTGTATTTCAACTAAAATATTTGTAATATGTTCCTATACATACTCCACGTGATGTGTGCTCTTTCTAAACTCAATATAACAATTAGATCATTGTTTTATATATTAGAAACTTGAGAGAATTGTTTATATTTAAATTGAGAGTATTAAATCTGTTAAACATAATTTTAATCTCTTGGTATATGAAATTCTCCTCAATTTTCACATAAATCTTGTGTTGTTGTGTGATCCAATATTCTTCATATGCTCTTTTTTCTCGCTCTTTAATTATTTGGTCCGAATTCTCAACAAATTGGTGTCAAAGATTATCTTGTTCATTTTTAACAATTGATATCAGATCCAAGAATTTTTGATGGTTTCTTGGAAAGTTCAAATGATTATTAAAGCGACTTTTGAATAAGGTCGATTGTTTCAGAGATGAAAACTATGAAAATTGAGATTTCGATTTTGAATCGCAACAGTAGATTTTTCTTTGTAGCAGATTAGATGCTAGCAGTTCTTACTCAATTTGATTTGAATGATGCTTTCTCGATTGTGGATAAAATGCCCACGACAATAACTGAGGAGAAAAAGCAACGCAAGGATCGGAAAGTCCTATCATAGATACATCTTAATCTTTCTAATCAAAATTTTCAGGACGTAGTAAATGAGAAAAGTGTCACTAGGTTGTGATTGAAATTGGAGTAGCCTTGTATGACAAAGAGTTTGACCAGTAAGTTAAACTTGAAGCAGTGCTCGAGCATTAGGGTGAAAAACGGAGCAAAGAGCTGGCGCCCGCTTGGCCCAACGTTTCTCAAGAGTGACAATGTTATCCGGGTTGGAATCATCTTTCGATTCTAACTCTTTTCTTAAGTTGTATTTCATTCAAAATATTTGTAATGAGTTCTTATTTATATACTCTACGTGTTATAGACTCTTCATAGAGTTAATATAACAATTAAATCATTATTATATACATTAAAAATTTGAGAGAATTATTTAGATATAGATTGAAAGTATCAAATCTTGTAAGCACAATTTTAGTTTCTTAATATATGAATTTCTCCTCTTCCACATAAATATTGTGTTGTTGTGCGATACAATATTCTTCATATTGCTCTTTTTTCTCGTTCTTTAATTATTTGGCCCGAATTGTCAATGGTAGAATCATACGTCATATGCTTTAGCTATTGTTTGGCCCCATTAAAATAATAATTCATTTTTCTCTTTCTTTTTATCAATCACATATTATTCAATAAAATAATATTACATGTAAACTTAAAACATTTTATTCTTTTTAACTACACATTTTTCAAAAAAAGTACTATTCTAAAAATTAAAATGGCATATAATGGAGGCCAAAGCCTTAAAAGGCAAAAGCACAGTTATACTGAAACTAGAAAATATCTGATATACCTCTCTAGACTCTAATGGCCATCTTCGGATATCCTGAGTTTTTCTTGATTCTGTTATGCATAATTATCTTTTGTTTCTTCAGAACTAGAAGTTGGCAAAAAAGCTTCTTGCCAACAGATTGGCCTCTGGTTGGCATGTTGCCGGGAATTCTTCGGAACGCGCATCGAATCCATGATTTTGCGACAGATTTGCTTGATGAATCTGGGGGGACATTTGAGGTTAAAGGGCCCTGGTTTGGTGATATGGACATGGTGGTCACTTGTGATCCTGCAAATATCCACTATATCTTGAGCAAGAATTTTGCAAACTATCCAAAAGGCCCTGAATTCAGAAAAATATTTGATATTCTGGGAGATGGGATTTTCAATGCTGATTCTGAACTGTGGGAATTTCACAGGAGAACAACTTTGTCAATCATGAGTAATGCCAAGTTTCATATTTTCTTGGAGAGGGCTGTTTGGTACAAGGTCGAAAATGGACTTATCCCGGTGCTCGACTATTTCGTGGAACGAGGAGTCAAGGTCGATTTGCAAGACATTTTGCAGAGGTTCACCTTTGATAGTATCTGTAAATTGGTACTGAATTATGATCCAGGGAGTTTGTCTATTGATTTACCTTATATTCCATGCGAGAAGGCGTTCAACGATGCTGTGGAAGCCTTGTTGCATAGGCACATCCTGCCAGAAAGCATTTGGAAGCTGCAAAAATGGCTGGGAATTGGAAAAGAAAAGAAGCTAATCAAAGCTTGGGAAGCTTTTGATCAATTTATATATCCACGTGTTTCACACGAAAAAGTAATCGGAGAACAAGACGAGGATTTTAATTTCTTAACAGCTTTTAGAAAGGCGTGTAAAGAAAAAAATGTTGCTCCTGGTGATTCAATAGACTTTCTAAGGGACGCCTTTTTGAATTTGATGTTGGCAGGTAGAGACACCACAAGTACTTCTCTTACTTGGCTACTCTGGCTCGTTTCGACTAACTCGTCTGCAGAATCCAAGATACTAGAAGAAATCGAGAAAAAATTGCACGCCAAGAAGGATAAGAAATGGAGATTTTTTGATGTAGAGGAGTCGCGCAAATTGGTCTACCTCCACGGGGCTATATGCGAGTCTCTAAGGCTGTTCCCTCCTGTGGCTTTTGAACACAAAGCTCCACTTCAACAAGATACTATCCCAAGTGGACACTGCATTAATCAAAATAAAAAGGTGCTGCTCTCTTTCTATTCAATGGGAAGAATGGAAAAGATTTGGGGAAAGGATTGTTTAGAATTCAAGCCCGAGAGATGGATTTCCGATGAAAGAGGAGGAATCAAGCACGAACCATCGTTCAAGTTCCCAGCATTTAATGCCGGACCAAGAACCTGTCTAGGAAAAGAAATGTCTTTTATTCAGATGAAAATGGTTGCAGCCACCATTTTCTATAATTACCATATTCAAGTGGTGGAAAACCATCCAATTTCTCCTAATGATTCTATTATAATTCAGATGAAACATGGTCTCAAGGTCAGGTTATTCAAAAGAAGAAATATATGATGCATCAGATATTAGAGAGGAAGGTTTCAAAATGATTTAGGGCGTGATTCATTGTCCATGTAACTTCGATTTGTAGCAACTATATGTATAATAATTTGTGATTCAATGAAGATAAGTATTCAGTTCTCGAGTTAATTGAGGGTAATTATATTTTGCACAAATAAGCGAGTCTAGGTACTATGGACCATTCTGTAATCACACGATACAAACATTGTTTAGTATTATCCGTCCATAATATAATATTTTACGTACACATAATATTCAAAGAACTTGACTGATTGAAGTGTGAGAAGAGCTCTAATGCGCAACTCAAACATCACCCTCAACTCTGCAAATAGTTGATAGTGCTTCTCGCCAGCAAAGTTCCATCTTGATAGACAATATGCAGCCAACCTCATTCACATGCGCACTAAAAAGTTTGGTCCCTCCTAATCAACTCATGCCAGTCAAATTTAAATCGACTTCAGAAGAAAAAATACATGATCTGCTAGACTTGTTTGTTTATCTAGTCAAGTAAAATTTTCATCTCTGAATTGGGTACTCAGATCGATAAAGAAAGTCTTGAATTTTTGAAAGAATTGTTCGTTATATATATATATATATANTTCCCCCTTATCAATTATGTGATAATCTCCTCAGTATCCAAATCAATCTAAAATTGATCAAGATCCACTAAATTAAACCCAATCAATCACTATTTAGCTTTACTTGGATCAAAGCTCATCAACAAATGTAAATAGCATCCTTAATTTGTGCACACTCTCAAGTCTGGGCCCACTTTTTGGTATGTGATGGGTTGTGATGCCAAATATATTAGTTGCATTCAGTTCACTAGGTTGTGATGAAATTGGGCATATCCCATTGCTGGATTGGTTCTGGCCATTGCCTGATAACTTATTTGAAATAGGTCCAATTACCCGATCCCATTTGATGGACACGTGTGCTGCTCTGGGCCCTCGACCATCAGTTGTAGATCTACGGTGATGGATTTGTGTATTTAAGGGGCTTAAACAGTCATCCTTTTGTGACTTTTCTATTTTTGTTCTTCGTGAAACTTCTGGGGTTCTCTCTCTAAGTCGCCTCTTGCATCCCTTTTTCGATTACTTTGTTTTTATCAAAACTTTTGGTTTTGGTTGTTAAATTTGAGTGATTTGAGTTTATGTGATTCTTCGATTGGGGATTTTGTGTTGAGACCAGTTGTTTGATCTTGGGTTCCATTGTAGTAGCTGCGATTGTTCGATCTTTAAGGTTTTGGGTCTTTGTGGTTGTTTCTTTTGTACAGAAGTGTACAATGTATTGTTTTGAGCTCTAAATATAATAATCAATCCCTTGATATTGATGATCTGATCGTGTTCTTCATGTTCTAGGGTTACTGCTTCCGTTGTGTTTTGTCATTATCAGTATGGCTTAAGATTTTAATACAAATTTAAATTAAAGTCAACAATTAATTATCCACAATATTTATCAGCATTTTACATATTTCATCAAATTTTTGTTAAAATCTACTAAATATTTTATTTTTATTTACTTTAAACAGAGGCTTAGTATTCATCTTTAATTTATTCAGCTCCTATTCACTTGGCAATGTTGTCAAATTAATTAGTTGTAAAGAAAAAAAGAAAAGAAAAGTAGAATGAAACGAATATGAAGCGAAGTACGTCGAAACAAATCTTTTTAAGACGGATTTTACCCCTATACTTGTGTCAATAGGATTATCAAACATCTATTTTTCAAGATACAACACTTTTTTGAAGGTCGATATTTCACTATACCATCCTTCTCAGTCTCACCAAAGGATTAATAGCATTATTCTCTAATGGAGTATACTCAAAACTAAAATTTCTCGAAATATAATTCAGATGGAATTTTTATTTCAACAAAATAAAATGAACAGAGAGATGAAGGAATTAGAAATCAAATGTTAACTTGAATTGATTTGGTGTAGAAGATAATGGAATAAGATAATTTGAGCCCTTATATCACACAATTTCCGATGGGAAACTTATAAAAATACCCTTAATATTAAGAGTCTTTCGAAAAATCATATGAAACATATTTTGGAAGTAAAAAATACTGTGTAAAATTAATTCACTTTCTTTTCATAGAACAAGTGGCACAATAAAAAAGAGCGCACTGGAAAAGTGACCTAGTGTCACTTTTTAAAGTTAAAGTATCACCCTTTTTATTAAAAAAAATGATGTTTGTCATTCAAAAGTAATAGAAATTTTAAAGAATTGACAAAAAATGTAACAAACATTAAAAAAGTGAAACAATAAAAAAATTGACAGAAATTGAAAAAAGTTACGAATACTAAAAAAGTGACAAAACACCAATTAAAACGTTAGTATCAATTCAATAAAGTAACAAAAAAAAAAAAACAATTGGGGTTGATTTGGTCGATGATGAGTCTGAGTATTTCGATTTTACAAGTGATTGTCGAGCACGAAAGGATCCGTCGTCTAAGGATGTTGGTGGTGGTGGCACCACCCTTTATAATTGAAACATGAGAGAAAACAGGCCATGCCACTTATATCGAACCTTGCGCCTATGGGACAATGTTTCAGGTAACCTGGCAAATTTCTATAATCACTTCCCCTTTGTGAGATATCTACCACATCAAAGGTGAATCTAGAATGATGCATGTTAGGAGATGCTTCACTAGTCATATTAATATCGACACTAGAACTATCATTTTGTTTTACAGTTGCCAGAAGCTCTTCTATCAAAGCAATTACTTGCAATCATAAAAATTAGCCAAGTTTAAACTAAAACCACAAATTATTTACACTGTTATGAACTAAATAATTGATGAATTTGCACTTTGAATTCAAATCACCATTTGAAATCATAGGAAAGAGATGGTTGTCCATCACCATTCATAGCACACTGACACTTGAATCAAAATAGAAGTGATGGACATCTTTAAAAAGTCTCTCAATCCAAAAGTTTGTAAATTTCCCCCACTCCTATATATCAAGGATGAGCATTCGTTTTAGTATAATAAAAATATCCTCACTTTCAGAAACCAAGGTAAAAAAGATATCTCAGTTCATTGACACTACTTCATCGAGCAATAATAATATTTGATAAAAAGGAAAGTAGAGAATATTGCAAGTTGTTGTGTTTAAACCTAAGAAGAATATAAGAATGTCTCCATGATTTTGTTTTGACAGAGTTGGCTTGGAAAAAGGCAAAGAAAGAGTTGGCTGGAAGCATTGAGAAGGGGATTTCCTTTGTAGGAAAATAAAATGGCTAGTGGCAGATTTCTCCGTCCTCATAGTTTTCCTTCAGAGAAATTACACCTTCTGGAATCTTGCATTGGTGGTTGTACCAAAAAAGATACTCTGTAAACTAAGAAGATGGCCAATAAATGATGATTCTCTGGTTGAGGGCAGATATTACGTGTCGAGATTTGATGTGTATTTGAATAATTTTTTTAGCTGAGAATAACTCTCATCATCAGAGTATCTGCTCCTTTTTAACTTATAAGGCTGCAAATTAACATTTCGTTAAGATCCTTCAATAGCACCATGTTTTTTCTTGGTCGATTTCAAGTTGTGAACATTAAATTCACATTCTTCAACCATGTATCCGACTCTATAGGATAAAAACAACGAAAGATTGAGCACAAATTTGCCAAAAATCACCGTGTTAGCGTGAAGAATAAAATGGAACCTGAATTCACATAAAACCATAGAGAGAATTATAGTAAATTGTTTTTGTTTTTGCCCCCAGAGAAAGTTCAATATTGCAATGACGTAAATTTCAAAACTTCCAAATTTGGGACGTATGGAGCCTAATTTCCTCATTTCCGATTGTACGGTCCAAATGCATCCCTCTGCGATGGCCCATAACCTAATATCAATATTTAACCACATATCAATATTTAAAATTATTGCTTATTTGAAATGTTGTTTCAAAATTGCGCGGGAAAAATCTAAGCCCGAGCTATCAAAACTTATCCATCAATGGCGTGGACACCTTGGTTGATTTCATTTGTAAGGGGGTTAAATTAGTAGTCAACCACCATCCACTTTATCTGTTGACACTTTAAGTCCATATTTGACAACCATTATTTGAAAACTCTTTTTTCAACATGCTTATTTTTAATCAGATATTCACACAATAAAATATTTTGCACGTAAATTCAAAAAATTTTCATACTTTTTAACAACATATTTTTCTAAAAATCACTATTGAAAATATGATTTTTCCCATTTAATGGTTGTGAAACGGTGGCTAAATTTATTGCCCTATTAAGCTTTCATAAATTTCAGGGATGAGATTGCAGGAAACAGAAGATTCCTGCATATTAATGGGGAAAGTTTGGAAGCTGTAAAGATTCAGGGATAGGCAATTGGCAAAGAAGAAGAGATACTTTCTTACTTCATAAGTTACTTATTTTGCTTGAAGTAATTTATAAGGTTCTGGTTTGCACTAACAAGACTTGCAAAAAAGCAAGAATCTTGGATTTTGAACTCATGTAATTTTTAGGTTCTGCATTCCAGATTCGATTCGAGCAACTCCCCCCAAAATGCCTGCTCACCTTCAACTTATGCACCAGAATTAATTCATCAGAATTGCACTTCCCTAATTCTTGCCAGTAAGCATGGACATTTTGCAGCCATTGAAACAGAACATGGGCTCATGACATTTACAATGCCAGCCAAATTGGCAGAATGTAGTAACCATAATAACCAATATAAAAGTCCCAGATGACACACAGCATATCAGCTAAACATACGAAAACCAACACCATTTAGCCTATAATACCATAATAGCTACAAAAGCTATGCTGGCTATTTTGAAGTACAAAGAAATATTGTTTTTTGTTCTGTTATTTACTTTTCTTTGTTACAGAAACTTCAATGCAAAAAGAAAGAGAAGTTCATTACCTACAAACTGGCCAGTTCTTGGTATGATACCAGCACTTATTGTCAACGCTCACAGATTCCATGACTATCTCACCGAGCTTCTTCAGATTACTGGCACGTTTTGGTTTAAAGGCCTCTGGTTTACTAACAGTGAGATATTGCTGACTAGTGATCCAGCTAATGTTCACTATATATTGAGCAAAAATTTTCCGAACTTCACGAAAGGTCCCGAATTTAAGAAGATATTTGACATTTTAGGAGATGGGATATTCAATGCAGAATCGGAATCATGGAAAAACCAAAGGAGAACTGTTATGTCGTTAATCAATCACCACAGGTTCCAAAAGTTCATTGCTACAATTAGCCAGAACAAGGTGGAAGAAGGGCTCATCCCAGTTCTTGAGAATGCTGCAAAAATGGGCAAGGAAGTGGATCTGCAAGAGTTATTTCAGCGTTTCACCTTTGATTCTGCTTGCATTATGGTTTTAGGCCATGATCCAGCTTCATTGTGCATTGATTTGCCACATTTGCCATATGAAAAGGCCTTTGCTGATGCTGAGGAGGCACTTTTGTATAGGCATGTTCTCCCAGAAACTTACTGGAAGCTTGAAAAGTGGCTTCAAATTGGCAAAGAGAAGAAACTTAGTGAAGCTAAGGAGATTGTGGATCAATTTCTGATGCATTGTATCTCACTGAAGCGCCAGAAAGTAAAATCCATGGACCTAATTGCAGAGCACAAAAATGAAGATTTTGCATTCTTAACAAGTTATATGAAAGCAGTTGAAGAAAACGGTGACGCACCTGATCACATTTCTGACGATGTATGGAAAGACACCATGTTGAATTTAATCTTTGCCGGTAAAGACACAATAAGTGCAACTCTTACATGGTTTTTTTGGCTTCTATCAACCCATCCGATTGAAGAAAAAAAGATTCGAGAAGAAATCAAGAAGAATTTACAAGTCAATGAAAAAGGAAAATTGAAATTTTCCAACACGGAAGAATTAAAGAAACTGGTTTATCTACATGGTGCACTGTGTGAATCATTACGCCTATTTCCACCAGTGGCTTTGCAGCACAAAGCTCCAATAAAGCCAGATATTCTTCCAAGTGGACATCAGATCAAACCGAATATGAAAACTGTTTTATCCTTCTATTCAATGGGAAGAATGGTATCCATATGGGGGAAAGACTGTCTAGAGTTTAAGCCGGAAAGATGGATCGCCGAACAAGGACGTATCAAGCACGAACCATCTTTCAAATTTACAGCATTTAACGCAGGGCCAAGGAGCTGTTTAGGGAAGGAAATGACTTTCATTCAAATGAAAATAGTTGCAGCTTCCATTATAAGCAGTTTCCATTTTCAAGTAGTAAAAAGCCATGCTATAGCTCCAAGTAACTCTATTGTGCTTCATATGAAACATGGAATGAAGGTCACTGTATCAAAAATATTTGATGAATCCTAGAAATTGATCATGCTTGGCTTGGGAATAAAATGTCGTTTCTGCTTGTAATTTGCTAATTGTTAACTGATATGTTTGTAATAAGCATTGATATGCTTAGCTTAAACGATATGATCTCTTTGTTTCTATGTAGTCATATGAATGATGATCAAGTTATAATTTGATATTTCAAAATTAATTGTTTTTAATTCACATTTCTCACTCGGTTCATTTATCACATTTCTTAAAAATTAATATTTACCCACTGATTAAATATTCAATAACATACACAAAAAATTGCAAGATTAGTCTTTAATGTAGGGTTCTTGTAGCAACTTGGTCTTTATTCGGGATCAAAGAATTTCACCATTGAAGTATCTGGTACCAACTTAATCATGACTTGTTTTTCAAACATACGATATTCTTAGAAGGGAGGAGACAGCGATCCTGACTTCGCCAGAGCCTAGCTCGTGGGCTATGGGGTTTAGGATTGGGCTTTGTCCAATATATATTTGGGAAAATTTCGTATCTAGAGTATGGTTCATTTCAAAATTAAAAAAACGATGTTTAAAACTCCTGTTGACACACTAAAAGTGCAGCCCAAATTAAATGGCCCAAAGAGCGAATTCCAGTTGGGAATCCAAGATGAAAGCCCAAGCAAAGGGTATTATTGAAGAATGTAAATTAAAGTCACGATTTGAGGCGGTTTGAGCATATCACGATTACACCCCACGATTTGAAAAAATTAGTGACAAGCGGTTATCAAGAAAACGTGGTGGTAGGAGTTACAAATGGTAGTTATTGGTCAGTCAGCCACTATGAAAGAAATTGATAGTTACAAACAGAGTCCAAACGGTTAAAAACTGCCCAAGGAGTATAAAAGGAAGAGGAAAACAATGAAGAAACCCCGACAAAATTCACTCTCAAATAGAGAATATGTAATTTATTTATTTTTAGATTAATTTTGATTAATTCATCTCTTTGTACTTGTGTGCTTGCGCCCCTTGGAGGCATCTCGTTCGTATCCAAACTATAATCTTCATATTCGATAAGCACCCATTTTTGGGGCTTTGTTCCAAGAGGTTTGTTCCTTACACAATCGTCCAATCCTCTTTTAATTGTTTGCGAGTAACCACGCGAAACAACTTCAAAAATCATATATTAATTAAATTTATTTATGAAATAATTAATTAAATATATATTTTTTATTAATTAAATATATTAAGGTCACAATTCTATACTATATGATTATAAATTATTTATCGATCATGAATAAAAAAATTTATAGATCAAAAATTATTTTGTGATTACAAATCAAAAATTTTATAAACTACAATTTATTCATCAGTTACAAAGAAAAAATATTTATAGTTCACAATTTATCGATTGGTCATAAATCACAAATTTTATAAGTTACTATTCAAATTTTGAAGTCACATATTATTTATTGGTCACAAGTTATCGATCACATAGTATTTATTAATCACAAAATATCCAGTTTATATGTCACAATTTCAAATAATTGGTCGCAAATAAATCAATTTATTGGTCACAATCAACTAAATAATTGGTCACAAACACCTCTACCTCATGTCATCCCACCCACAACCACTACACCACCGCCACAACCATCACAACCATCGCCGACCACCACCACCACTCACTACCACTGCTAGATCCACCACCATCACTAACAAAAACCATCCCACAACAGTCAACACCATCAAAATATGGAAACCACCTCCACCACTCCAACAACCAAAACCAAAAACAAAATCAAAACCAAAACCAAAACTAACACCTCACTGCCACTGCCAGATCCACTATCACCTACCTACACCAACCATCTATAGCACCACCACCGCAACCCACCATCGAACCACACCCCACATCCCCGAAACTCCGACAAAGCATATTGGAGGAAAAACCTAACCCAAAACCCCAAAATCATCGTTGCTGCACCCTATCCTACCATACCCTCCATCCACCCACGTACACCACCACCTCACCGCACACTAACAAAACTCTGACCAAATAGGTTGGAGGAAGAAACCGACCCAAAACCACCAATATCCACCGCACCACCACCAACACTAGCATCACTACACACACCACATCACACACAGATCATGTTAGGAGGCGTAATTAGCTGAGANCTGAGATTAAAATAGAAACATAAGAGAGTGAGAAGAGAAAAGAAATTGGAGATTCGAAGAATTTGATATTATTATTGCTTGCTTCTGACAAATACATTGCCGTCTTATATAGCCACCACAGGACCCTATTACAATGCCAATAAACTTTTATTTATGGAAAACTCTGACTAATAGCCTTGACAATATCCTAAATAATAGCTAATTCCCTAATAATAATCCTTAGACCATGCTGGAGGATTTCTTGCTCTTTTTGGCCGGCGTTCATCATTTCTAACATTGCCGGACTCTTTTGGAACAACCTTGTCCTCAAGGTTGAGAGTAAGATGGCCAAATAATCTCTTAAATGTCTCAATATCTTCCCAAGACGCATCTTCTATCGGAAGTCCATGCCACTGTACCAATACTTGATCAACCCAGCCTTCTCTACGTTTTATTGTTCGGCTTCCAGTCACTGCTAACGGGGAGACCTCTGGTTGTCCATTTTGCATCAATGGAGGCAAGGCCAGAGGAGTCATGGAGGGCAAGGCGTGACAAGGTTTGAGAAGAGACACGTGAAAAACAGGATGTATTTTGGAAGTAGCTGGCAACTTCAATTTGTAAGCCACGGCCCCAACAGGTTTTAAAACTTCAAAATGACCATAATATCGACGTCCTAGCTTAGAATAACGATTGCTCCGTACTGATGCTTGTCTGTATGGTTGAAGTTTAACGTACACCAAATCTCCTATGTTAAACTTCACTTCCCGTCGAGACTTATTAGAATAAAAGGTCATACGTTGCTGGGCATGCACCAAATTTTCCTTCAAGGTAGCTAAAAGGCGGTCTCATTGCTGAAGTTCATAATCCACAGCTTCCAAATTGGAACTTCCGATCATGTATGGTAACACGCGGGGAGGTTCTCGACCATAGACAATAGTGAAGGGTGTGGTGCCGATGGCTGTATGGAATGACGTGTTGTAGTAAAATTCAGCTCGTGGAAGAAAATCTACCCACTGATGTTGTTGGTCCATTACAAAGCAACGAAGGTACTGTTCCAAGAAACAGTTCGTCACCTCAGTTTGGCCATCGGTTTGCGGATGGTAGGCCGAACTATGTTTCAATGTGGTTCCACTCAATGTGAACACCTCCTGCCAAAATTTGCTAAGGAAAATTGGGTCTCTATCGGTAAGAATGGACTTGGGTAAACCATGAAGCTTATAAACCATAGTGACAAACAATGCGGCCACTTTAACTGCTGTGAATCCGGTTTTGAGAGCTCCAAAATGAGCATACTTTGATAATCGGTCAATGACCACCATGATAGCTGTATAGCCCGAAGATGCTGGCAAACCCGTAATAAAATCCATTGCAATTTCATCCCAAACCTGAGCCGGAATAGGCAATGGTTGCAATAATCCACCTGGGGAACTTGCTACATGCTTTGCTTGGTTGCACACATGACATTGCTTGATGAATTGTGCCACATCATTATGCATATTTTTCCAGTAAAAGTTCATTGCTAATCGAATCATAGTCTTGTGTACACCTCCGTGACCCCCTAGTGGTGTGGCATGAAATTCCACCAACAATTGTTGCCGTAAGTCATTCTTGGGTGGCACCACAATGCGGTTCCGGTAATATAAGAGATCATCTTTTACTGTGTAATCTCCATCTGACCTATCTTGACAAGATGCTAGTAGTTTTTGGCTCTCCTTATCCTCCTGCAATGCTGCCTTAATCTGTTGTAAAATGTCAAAAGAAATTGTAGACAAACTAGTTAGTTCTGCCCATTCCATTTCTTTTGCTGTGGCATGTGTTTCTTGTTGTGGTTGCACATCAGTGTCCTCAAACTGCCTTGATAATGCATGAAGAACAATGTTTTATTTCCCTGGTTTGTAGCTAATCACGAAATCAAACCCCAAGAGCTTTACTAGATAATTCTGTTGTTCTGGTGTTTGCACCACTTGTGTCATTAAGTTCCGCAAACTCTGATGATCTGTTCGAATAATAAATTTTCTGCCCAGAAGGTATTGACGCCAACGCATTACGGCTTCTGTGACAGCATACAACTCCCTCACATATGCAGAGGCACGTTGAAGGCGGGTTGACAATTTCTTGCTGAAGAAGGCCACAGGTTGCCTTCCTTGCATCAGAACTGCACCAATACCCACCGCTGAGGCGTCTGTCTCAACTACAAAGGATTCTTGAAAATTTGGTAAGGCCAATATTGGGGTTGTCGTCATTGCACGCTTTAAGTCTTCAAAGGCCGTTGTAGTCTCGTCAAACCATTGAAATTTATCTTTTTGCAAAAGAGAGGTTAGTGGAGTGGCTATAGACGCATAAGCCCGTATACATCTGCGGTAGTACCCTGTTAAGCCGAGGAACCCCCGCAATTGTTTAACTGTTTTAGGTTGCGGCCAATCCACCATAGCTTTTATTTTGGCCGGGTCAGGTTCCACTCCTGCCGAGGACACGAAATGACCCAGGTATTCAATCCGTGACTGAGCAAAAAGACATTTTGATTGCTTGGCAAAGAAAAGATTTTCAAGTAGACAACTAAGCACCACCTTCAAATGTACAGCATGTTCAGCAACCCCTTTACTGTAGACCAAAATATCGTCAAAAAATATGATGACAAACTTTCGCAAAAATGGACGAAATAAATCATTCATCGTTGCCTGGAATGTTGCTGGGGCGTTAGTGAGTCCAAAAGGCATGACCACAAACTCGTAGTGTCCATCATGCGTGCGGAAAACAGTCTTTGGGATGTCAATTTCAGCCATGCAGATTTGATGATATCCAGAACGTAAATCAAGTTTTGAAAAGATTGTAGCACCGCAAAGTTCATCCAATAACTCGTCTACCGTTGGAATGGGAAATTTGTCCAGA